AAAAGTGACATTTGCGTTCAAAAAGGACGAATTTTGTGAAAAGAATAGGGAAAAAATGAAGTACAATGTCATAAGCTCTCCGAAAGGGAACCGTCATTCGAAAGCGCCATAAACTCGATTCCTAGGTGCTTCGGAGATGCGTTGCTTTGCTGTTGTCAGCCTTCATGAGTCCCAGTGCATCTCTCCCTTTTCTAGCCTGGTGGACAAAGGTCGCGTAAGACGCCAGAGGGGTCGCGCTGTACTTCCACGAATCGGATCATGTCGAGGTCAATCGTTGCGTTCCCACAGAGTGTTCCATTGTCGCAGTCTTGTACGATAACAGAGCTGATGCCTTAGATGATTGTCGGTTGATTGTTCATTACAAAGAGGAGCCCTCTCTGGGGGAGCTAAGTCCCTCTGGTAACCGTTCCAGCCGTCATTTTGCCAAAATGATAGTATAAAAAAGTGAGAGTAGTATTTTTGTGAATACGGTGATCTAAATCCCTAAACGGATTGACTTTTGATTAGGAGTGTTTCCTATTGGAACTTGCGTCACATTTAGCCCATCAAAATTAGCCCGATTCAGAACAAATATTTCGGCAAGTAAAATAGGAAGACGGCGAATTATTCTTATGAAATTTCTCCTTCTGAGCTTTGTGGAAGATTTCAACGAAAGTGATTGCTTTACAAAACAGCTCAAGATTTCAACTTATCAGATGACTGGAGTTTTTCCATTCCAATAAAAATTCCAGCATTAGAGGTTTGCTCGCAAGACACTGATCTTTAGTGATTCTAGAGTGCTGCTCATTTCTCCCACTTGCATCAGAAGGAATGGGTTCCTGGCCCGAACGGCTATCTATACCAATTCCACTCAGGAGATCAGAGTTGGCTCGCAGCCAGGGAATATTGTCTCTCTCAAAATTCTGACCTTGTCATTTTGAGGGATACCAAGCAAATCGTAAGTTAGTTTTTCTGCAAACAATTTCACCCTCAGACCACGATTTTCTATTCTAAGGACTGGCTCCTGGACCACTATGCTCCAACGTATGCTCGATTTGCTGAGCGATATATCCAGGTAAGAAATCGCTTAGTTCTCACTCTCTATGTACTGCAATAGTTTCTGCCAATTAAGATCGGTCTGATGATTCCTGATGGGCCGAGTCGCGACTGGATGTACCTGGACGGCTCTAAATACAATCAGTCCGTTATGTGAGTGTTCAATTCTTTTCTGGTATCACAAATGTAATATCACAAATGTAAGAGAATGCAAAAAAGTTCTCCACAATCGAAAGTATGCGATTCCTTTTTACCTGTTTTTCTCAAGGATGGACATCGGAGGGTGCAGACCACAGACTCTAAATTCCAATCATGTACCCGGACTTACCTGTTTTCATGCCAGATTTGACGATAGAGCACCCGTCGACGCTGGTGGGCTTCAGTGGGGGACTCGCTATGAAGAAAGCCCAACCAGCATTCCCTCCTCCCAATCCTTCCTAGGACTAACAGGAAGGTCTTTCAGGGTGTGCCAAGCTTTTTCAAAACGGTCTTTTGCATGATATAGAGGCACATGCGGGAACCACAGAACCATGGTTAATTTTTCCTGAACGGCCCTCTGAATACCAGAAAAGGGGGTCCCTAGTCACACCTTTTTCACCAGTTTTTCAATCAAAGTCTATTTGTAAGGGTTACTGACGTTCCTAATCATGAATTGGTACTAATTATTCATGCTAACTCCATTTTGCGCGAATTTTGAAACGTCAACTCGAAATGCAAAAATTTGTCACCACGAGGAATCGAACTAGGGACCCCTTTTCTGGTATTCAGAGGGCCGTTCAGGAAAAATTAACCATGGTTCTGTGGTTCCCGCATGTGCCCCTATATCATGCAAAAGACCGTTTTGAAAAAGCTTGGCACACCACCCTAAACGAGCTCTGAGGGAGGAGGGGGAGAAGGCGGTGTATGTGGGAAAGTTTCATTTTTCCTCGAAATTAATCCTCTCCTCTTGGGCTCATGCCGCTAGCGACGCCTTCCCAGCGCCCTACCCGTCGGATGATTCCCTAGTTTTTAGCTTACCCGTAAAAATTCGTCGATTGCTGAACTCTTTTTTTTAAGATAGGAAGGTCAAGTTTCACACTAGGCGGTGGCTGCTCATCTCTGAAGTCCTCTTATTAAGTGTTTGATTTTAGCTCCTGGCATGTACGCGAGAACGTTCGATCACACGACGATGGGCTTGAGGGTACGCTGTGCTCTTCTACGGGCAATGCACGACCGTTCTCGACGACGGGCGTGAAGCGTCTCCACGCAACCAGATGCCCGTCCGATTCATATGCGAACGAAGTGGTGTCCGTCACAAGGAAGTGAGTTTGAAGGCTCGCGACTTCTTTAAGTTGTCTTCACCGACCTTCATATTCCAGCAACAACTATCGAAAAACTTCATTTGGGGAAAACTGGAACAACTTCTTGAATTCTTCGGATTCGGCAACGGCACACAGCCAAAGAAGGCCAACGGCACAAGTATCGTCGAAGACGATTATGTCGACGAGGTAAGGTCGTTGAGCTCAAGATTGCTCAACATGTCAATAGTAGACTCAAAGTCGTCTTGACGACCGTAATGGCTCTGAAGTTGAGTGTAGAAATGTAAACAGCTAGGCCAGCTTTCCTCGAACTTCATTAGAAGATCAGACTCTCCAACAACTTCAAGGAGGGATTCACGATTATAGTAAACGTCGAAGAGTAATTTTCCTAGCTGAGGACCCGCAAACCTCCTGAGGGGGTTTTTGCTTTTTTAGTGTACATCACTGGGAGTTCATTTGAAATTGGGTTGCTTGCCGCGGGAAAATTTGTCCTAGTCTTCACCCAGAATTTGCACCAAAATCCTCTATCTCCGCTTTCGTTGAATGTTTCACAGCCGATCGGGCTTAATGATGAAACCTTTGCACAGTCGATATCGAAGGAAGAATTTGAGCGGGGAAGAATTTTTCAGCGTCCAGTAGCGAACAGCACTTCCATGTGCGTTGGAAATGTTGAAAAAGATTCGAAGTTATTCGAGACGTCAAGCGAAGAGGAGCGCGAAGTGCTGTCGGCGCTAAGAAATCTGAACAATGTAAGAAACAAGTTCTACTATAGTCGCCACATCCTACATTCTTTCATAGCTCGCACCTCTCGCACTTTCTTTTCAGCCTGGAGCCAACAATTGGTTCGGAGACGTTCAGTATAGTGAAATGGACTTCTCCAGTGCACTGCAAAAAGTCGACCGTCAGGAACAGCACGGAAATCGATCTACCGGTAGGGTGTTCTCCTCACATTTCCTCATAACTTAAAAAAAAAGAACGAGTTCAGGTTCAACCACAATCACGCAGCTAACCACTGAAGATGCCTCTCGCGCGGCGACTGCGAAGAGCAAACCGAGTCCAATCGTCTGACATAGCGAGCCCTCGACTGTGACAACCTGCAGCGATACCAGCACAGAGAGAGTGCACAACTCAAAGCCGACTACGAGGAAAGCAGCCGACAGCGTGAAGGAATCAGGACTGAATCGGGCGACGCGTTAGCGAAGCAGTAACCGCTGAGACGTCGGAGAAAAAGGACGAAGTGAATTGTCTACAACTGAGGAGAACACGATTGAGGTGCCGACGACGGTGGAAAGCACAAACGAGGTGTTGACGACAGCGGAAAGCGAGACTGATCTACCAGCAGCAGAGAAAACGAAGAAAGCCGACTCAGGCCTCGGCGCTTGGACAAGTACCAACTACGACGAAGCATCACATGAGAAAGGACGAGAAGGACCACGGAAGCAAGGCGATAGACAAGGCAGAATGTAGGGAAGGTACATTAGTAGTATTTCGATTCACTTTTTACCACCTAGTCAAAATTGGATATGCAGGATGCTTCAAGCTTCCAACATGAAATTGACCCGGAAAAATTAGAAAAGATTATCAACACTATGGAGAAAATGGTCGCAAACCTTGAGAATATTTCGATTATCGAGAAACGTCCAGAAACCAAGTCGGAAACCGGGAAGGAACTGGTTCAGGCGGAGGTAGAGATACGAAAGAAAGAAGCGGCCAAGGAGGATGCACAAAAAAGCGAGACGAGGAAGAAGTCAAGTCGAAAATGATGGCCTTGTTCTTATCAAAGGGTAAAAATTCAATACGCATAACAATTGGCACGCAATCGAAATTAGTTAAGAATAACACAGTATATACAGTTACCATTCTGTGACTGCTCACTTTCAGCCTGATTTGGAAGGAAGATGGAGCGGGGCAAGCTGATATGGAAAAGGATTTTGACGAGAAACTAAACAAGAAAATGGTGAGTGTCAAATCCGCGTAGTCCAAATATTTCCCTCTGGCTAGCGGTAATTGCCATTCTAGCCAACAACGGACATCAAGCCCCCAGTTGATGAAGATTGTGAAGAAGGGGCGAGCGGAGAGAAACCGACGATGACCCGCCAGAGGAAGTGGTGAAAAATGCCATCGACACAGAAGACGTCGACGACCTCAGTCAGAAGCCGAAGATTCCTGTTGAAAGGGAAGAGCACATACAGGATTTCCTCCGACTCTGCGCACTTTCCTCAGTCGTGCCGAACACAGTGACTTGAGGTTGGAAAGCTTTTCTCTCAGAAAATTTTGTCTAAGCAAGCTGCAATTTTCAGAAAGCTTCTGGACAATAACCCTGGAAAAAGCCTTTAGGAGAAGATGAAGCTCGCTATTGGAGGCAAAGCAAAGAGCGAGTAGAATTTCGCGGAGGTCAAGGGGCTCGAATGATGAAGAAACGGCGATGATATCTCAAGTTATGTATTCGGATTCATCCGTGAATTAAGAGACTTAAGACTATTTCCTATGTTTGCAGGTTCCCGAGCCACAGCTAATCGCTGACTCCGAGCGTGAGGATCTTTTCAAGAAAATCAGTGGTGTCGTGATGGAAGAGGCGGAAAAGCATGGCCTAGAAACTGCCACGGAGCCATCAGCTCGAACAAGCGCAGAGAGACATCCAGGGGTCCGAACGACGGAAGCAGAGGTGGACCTAAGTGTCGGTTCTTCGTTCTTAAGGCAATGAATGGTTCTTGACGCTGTCCGTTATAGTTATCCGACTTAAAGCACGAGTCAGGATCTAGACCAGCTGAGGCAAAATGGCGCGGCAATGTCGTAAGGCCTTGCCCGCCGCGCCGCTGCCCGCGCTGCCAGCGTAATCCACCATGGCTTACGTGGTCTCTCGCGTATCACGTACTATCTCGCGTTCTCCCTCTCCTCGCAGCGCTGTGTCTCTCCGTCGTACTACGGCCGGCCTCCTAAGGGAAATGTTTTCTATGGTGCTTTTTGCTTTTTCTCCTCACTAATGTTCCTCATTGCACCCCTTGCCTAATGTTTGAACAAAATAAAGCATCAATTCAATCCCGACTCGTGCCTTTAAGGGAGGTCGTACCTGCAATTTTGGGAGAGGGAGTCATGTTTGGGGTTGATGAAGGTTAACCACTTTCCGGAAAAATGGTGGTGGGGGAAGGGTGTGGTATCTTTAGAAGTCGAAGGAGTCAACGTTTGTGTTTCAGTGGGGATTTTTTTTAGACTATTTTGGCGATGGAAACCTGAAATATGCGAAACCAGAATAACTTTTGCTTCTAGTCTCGTTTGTTCCGAACCCTTCAATGTCAGTTTTGAGGGGAAATTAGTAGGTGGGGCTGGAGCGTGTTGACGGATCTAATCGAAGGAATAAAATATAGTTGAAAGAGCTATAGTGGTGAGGGTGGTTGTCGGGGCGGTACGGGATCGTATTCGTGGGATCCCCTCATGTTGTTGCGTCGTAGCGGGACCCTCTGGAAGAAGAGAAGATCGTAAACTTCTTGAAAAAATGCGAACGGGACGGTTGACCGTGCCCTCCTTATCTATGGTCTAGGCGCTTCACGTCCAGGCGGGCAGATCGATTTGGTATTATAGACGATCGCTTATTTTCTTCAAGTTCTTTGTTTCTCGAAACTGATCACTCCGCCCACATCCGATTTCCTGAATCAATGACTGGGTTATCTTTGCAAAAAAGCACAGTTCCGACCAGTCCCGCCACCTCCCAATCCTCGTAAACCGATCGCCCCTCCGTTCATGCCTTTGATGTAGGGACACGGTATTGTGCCTTGACAGCTAAGCCAACCATTTTTTATCTGAGAGGTCCAGAAGAGAACATAACAGTTTTTGTGGTCCCTAAGTATACCCAGAGTAACTTTTTCCTTCAGGATAGCCGTACAAGTGTTGAGCCAAGCAGCACCAACGAGCCCTCTACTGCAGAGAAGCACGAGGAGGTTGACAATGCAGTGAATTCTGAAAGCATGAAAGACGTCAAATCTGTAGAGGTACAGTCACAGGATTCCAACAAAAGCACTGAAGAAAACGTTAAAGGGACGGAAAAGCCCGAAAAAGAAGATATTTCAAATACCGAAGAGCCTGTCAAAGAGGAATCTACGACAGAATCAAAAACAAGCGCTGAAATTCCAGTCAGGACGGTACAGCTCAAAGAATTCGATAATAAAGAAGAAATCATGAGTCGTGAAGTTAAACGAGAGCCCGAGCAGAAACCTGAAGAGGAAAATGAACCAGAGAAGAAAGTCGATGAAAAAGAAGCGAAGGAGGAAGAGGAAGAGGTCATGAAGACCGAGGCCATCAAGACAGAAAAAGAAGATGATGATCTGAGTGAGCCGGACAACAACGAATCGGGTGAGAAGAAGTCGAACGAAGACGAAGACAACGAAGTTGGCTCGAACGAAGTTCATCAATCGAAATCACGCGAAGAACCTGACGAGGAAGTTCCAATAACTCAAGTTCCCAAAGAAAATGACGATGACCATGGAGTGGAAGTGGGCACAGAAAAAACGCCGCAAGCCAAGAGGGCTGAACGAATGCGGCTAGCCAGAGAGAAAAAAGCTCAGCAGGAAAAGGCTAAAGAAGTGAAGAAAGCGGAGGAGTCCTCCAGTGAGGAAGACGAACGCGACAGCACAAATCCACTCGGGCTGCCTACTCTCCCACCACCTCCAACGCTGGCGCCATTGCCTAGTCTCGAAACCGTGCTTGATAACCTTGGTAAGCAGTGGAAGAAGCTTTTCCCACCGCCCAAATCATTTAGACTCTAAAATTGGCGCTTCTATGAATCATGTTGATCTGAATTATGGGTGCGTTGTACATGTTTCATTCAAATATTTATTGTTGTGCAATAATGAAGTTTTATTCTCTACAGGCGTTCTTTTGTTCTTCGGAGCCCATTCTGATAGTATTTAATACAGCATCAATGACATCTCTAACCATAAGCCAATCCAAGATGTGGAAAGAGTTGTCTTCCTTGATTTGGCAACGGGTTGATAGAAATTGTGCACTTGATGGCTTGCGGTGAGATAGCTTCCAGAGGAGCTTAGAGGGGGCGCGGGGTGGCAAAAAGCAGAAAATCCGTAAAAAAATAGTGGCTTCATTTTCGACCCTTAGCGGCGGCTGAGAAAAAGGTCGTTCGGACGCATTATATTCCATGGCGATATCATGCCAACACATGGCGCTTTGAGTAAAAGCACTGTGGGGGCAGAATTCAGAGTTGGCAATCGTACATGCGATTAGACGATTGGACGGTTAGTCTATTAGGAAAGGGGTACGTACTAATTAGGCGATCAAGTGATTAGGCGAATAGGCTAGTGGCCCAATGCCGAGCAACAGATCAGGCCATATCCTTTTCTTGTTGCCTATTCGCTAGCTCACCTAATTAGCTACTTGCCTAATCGCTTACTCGCTAAATTTTCAGGAATATTCCCATGAGAAACTCCCGTGCTGTGAGGTCGGTCATAGTGAACTCCTTCACTGCTTAACTTTCCGCCAAATGATTGATTCCAGGACCTGGAACCTGGAGTTATCTTGCAGCTAACCCATTTATGCATTCAGTCTTACTAAGCTGGTTGCAAAAGTTGCCTCAAACTGAAAGCAACAATTCAAGTGATCGACCTAGCCTTCGGTTCGACCCGCCTTTAGCAACCTACTCGTATTAGTTAGCGCAAAATGTTTCACAACAACCGGTAATAAATTTACAGAAGCGAATAATCGATATAAATGCATGGTCATGGTGAATAACTTATTACCTTTCAGTCCTTTAAAGGACTGTGAGGACACCACATGTTGCAGTAGGACAGGCTGTCCATGGTTGCTCAGAATTGGAAATGGACCATTAATCCGCGCTTCTTGCACTTCCTCATGCGGAAAGGGAAAACTCGATGCTGGTTCATAGAAAAGCACTGGAATTCGAGTATCTATGAACTTTATCCATAGCTCGACTTTGGCTCGTCACAGATTTCTGTAATATTCGAGATCACTTCTATATGTCGAAAGGGGATGTTCCACTAGAACTGTGGCTTCCTTGTGCCACTGGCTTGTCATGTCATTCTCACAGAAACACCAACTTCTGTCCACCACCAGGGAACGCTAATAGACAAAACCGCTACCTTACCGAAACAGTTGCGCTAAAAAAAATCAAAGGGTTTCTTGATGATTACATTTTCGAACATTGTGGTTGCGATTTACTCATCTATGTTGCCTACTTTTCGCAACCGGAAAGCGGTAACAGCAGACCCACTACTTCTGACTACAGGATTTGATTCAGAGGGCCCATTTACCTGCAAAATATAATAGAAGCCGGGAACTGTAGCCCAAACTCTTCCTTTTGCCAGTAGCCCTAACTTCGCCCGCGTCCGATCGAGCTCCGCCTACTATTTCGCATGACCTAAGGGCGCTTCCTCACCCACTTGGACCATGCTAGGGCCAATTTCGTAAGTCCCGGTAGCAGGACTTGCTAATTACAAACAGCCAAACACACAAACACGCAAACTGCTGCTTTATGTACTGTACGGATAGCAGCAACAATTTGTACAATCGATATAAGAAAACTGGCGTTTGAGCAAGCAATTTTATCATTTGTTACACCAAAAAATTCTCACTTTTATTTCTGCGGTTGAGCTATAGAGCATCAGAGAATTGCATGATTATGATGGCTTCTGAATGTGTCAAAACAAAAGCGAAAACAATGACAGTCTACGTGAACTGCTCGAACTGGTCGCCCTGAATCTCGCAAAGGTCGAAAGTGAGTTACTGGGTCGACGGTGCGCAGCAGCTGGTTCACCTCTTAGTCAGCCCCAATTTTTCGAGTTCACAGAGAGTAGAGGATGATTCTACCGAAGCATTTTCGATCCCTCGGCATGGCTCCTTTTCTAGTTCAAAGTAAGCCTGGAAAGAACGGATGTATGCCAAAATATTAACGATGCACATAGCTTGGATTCGAAAAATGTTCGAAAAATTATTGTAATGAAAGCGAGAGCCTTGAAGGTGATGAGGGTTGTGATCAGACATCAGACGTTGGCGCCAACTAGCCAAAAGTCTTGTCGAAGCACTCGGGCGTAGGACCATTGGACGCATACGCTTGTGGAGCCAAGTTATACGGAAGGAGCTGGAAAGTCCAAAAATTGATAGGGGCGTGCCGCGACAAATCACCAATTTGAAGGGTCGTCCATCAAATTGTAGCTTGTTTTATGTGATGAAAGCGACTCGTTTTCTACTGATTTGCAATGTACAATGAAGAGAGGATACTTTCACAGTCCACGAACTTTTGCTGATAAGATCGACAACGATCAAACTCTGCAAACCTTGCTGAACTTCAGAGCTTAGAATGTGCTGAAGCAGGATATGGCAACTTTCATAATGTCCGCGGCTGGCCATGGCCAAGGCCGGGTAATAGGTGGTACTACCACATTGTCGAAGCACTCTTACCATCACTTCAGAATGCACCATAAGCTTCAAGACATGAGTTCCTCATTATAAGGGATCCCTCCCTGACAGGTGTCTTGGGCGTACATAGGACAACGAACCTGCAAGTTGGACCAGCTAGGCTGTACAGGATGCTGCGAGCATCTTCAGCAGACCTCTTGCCTATCAAATGTCACTTTTTCGAGAACCTGCATGGATTCCTTTAAGAGAAATGCTTCGAAACTCAACACTTTGTTGAGACGACGTTTCCTCAGTTCATCACCCCTAGAGCTCCACCATTCCGATGGACCCATTGGAACAGCAGATCAAAGTACAGGTTAGCACATTCCAATGGTTTTTATGTCAACTGGAAGGGATAGGTCAAGGCCGAGATACGCGCATTTGATATTCGGTGTTGAATAACGACAACACTTTCTGAGAGCTATACATAATATTACTTACCTCGAAAACGGTTCGAAATGAGTCGCTCTGGAGCGTTTGTAAAATGTGCGGATCCATATCTGTGCCCGTCGCTGTCCCCTAAGCAGGTAATTTCCTTTGTCAATCTGGCCGCAATTTGTGGACAAAAACTGAAAAGAAACCATGATTGGCAACTAAAATAGCAAAAACATGAAACAGTTTGAAGAATTCAAGAGCACAGCAGTGAATGCATCGAAGGACCACTGTGTACAAAAAGCTCCTTCCTGAGCTCATCTGGAAAAGTGTTCCGGTGCCACAAATCAGACACGCCTGGTGTGAGACGCACTGATGCAGCGGCGCAGTGCAAACACGCGCTGTGTCCGCCGGAGAGGTGGACGGTTCGGTTCTGGCCGAGGAACGATGAGGATTGTATAGTTCAGCTGAGATACTAGAGAATGCTGACATATTTCGCCCCTATCTGAGTTCTTTTCTTCCTTTATTCCTCTGAGATTAAAAGAATAAGTCTGTTACCTTTTCGTAGTGCTCGGAGTAGGAACTTACCCTCAATGAAATGCACTATGATCGAGACTAAGAACTCTGTCGTAGGAAGAACATGCAATCTGAACTAACTGTAAGAGATACCCTTTCAGCCTTAGATTTTTAAGATTTAAAGCATTTCGCGGTAAAAAAAAACAAATAAAAAAGAAAAGGTCGTTGGTGCTATTCATGCTATAAAAGAGCTTAAAAGAATGATCAACAAAAAGCCATTACAGAATGCTATGACAGACAACATGTGAAATAGTATTGCTTCATCATCCAGAGGAGGTTCTGTGCTTCACGGGACGTACACCAAGAAAAGCAGCCGATCATAAGGTGGATACATTTTTTCCATTCGGAGCAATATGCAGACAGTAATTCATAGTTACGCCTCTGCACATAGAAGTGCCTAAATGGTAGACGGCCCTGTGGCATTTTATTGGCGAATTTTCGCGCTTGAGCATCAAGTTCTGAACCCATTATATCGCGTCCTCTCGCTTCTTTCGTTTCTGATGACTTCATGTTCTATATAAAATCACTTAGTTAGTGCTTGATTGTGACCAAATATCGTCACGTAGAAAAACTAACATAGTCTCCCATGGATCCGCTAGAGCAAAGCGTGAAGAGAATCCGCAGAGAAAACTCTCTAGAAATGCCGTAATTGGACTCTCGAGCAGTATGCCCTGCCAATGGGGGCAGAATATGCGTATCATCTGTTTTTGTCTACAACATATTAGCATTTCATCGCAGAAAGTGACGCTTGATGGGAGCTTTACGTCGATAGACGTTTTAGACGTTCCCCCTTACAGCCTCACCCTTCCCAGAATATGGTATCATCTGCCATCGCCGTCGAGCTCAAGTGGCCTACCGTGATTTCCTAGTCTGAAACTGCTGCATAATTTCTTCAGTCGACCTACTGGTGAATAGCTTCTCAGACACTGCAGTTCTAACTACGCGAACAAATCTGACCAACTTTTCAGATGTCGTCTTAAAGATCCGCGAATCATCGAGGACTTCGTTGAACTTCAATCGTCCACTTTGTTCATTTTCCAACTTCTTCTAATTATGAGGGTTATTATGAAATTTATAACAATTTGAAAATTGCTCTCCAATCGTTAGTTGAGGGCATTCGAATATTGAATTTACCAAATTGTAGTTGTTTCACAAGACGCTAAAGCGAGAGGTGCGGGTTCTAGTCCCGCCTGGGGCGAAAGTTTTGTTCACAACCCAGCATTCTTGTGAAACATTCGCAACGCGAACTGCGGCGTTAAAACAGCAGTTAACAAACAAAACAAGTCAAAATTGTAGTTGATTTATATAATCAATTCCATTTGCATAATTATTATGTTGTACCAATATAATGTTTATATAATATTTACAAATGTGGTGGAGGAATGAGTATTTG